AAAATAGATGGGTGGTTGAACAGTGAAACGACCTCCCTTTGCTTCTCGTACAAATCTTAAGTGAGGACTGGGCACGAGTTGGGTACAATAATATTACCATTCGTTTAGTTGTTTGTCTCCTATTTGTACAAATGATTTTTGATGTTTTTGTTTTGTTTTGTTTAGGGGTGGATCTGTGGTTTTTATTTCATCAATAGCTGGATATCAACCAATGCAGGTAATGATAATTACTACGGAAAATAATACGCGCTCCTAAATGTATAATACTCTCCAATGGCTGGCTTAGCTTCATCTCCGCGAGTGCATGGGAGTAGACTGCACAAAAACAGTAGAACCTTGATAACTCGAACTCGAATAACTCGAATTCCTTGCTAAGTCGAACTAAATTTTCTTTTCCTTGATCACAATTTCACTGAAATTTTCCCCCATAACTCTCATTCCCCGGAACTCGAACTGTTACCGGGATTCTACTGCATTAAGAAAACCTTGAAGCTTTTAAGATTAATTCTGAGTTGAAAGCGGCAAGCGGTTTTAAAACCTAAAGAACTCAGGAACTGGAACGGCACATTAGTGCCAACGGTGTATTTGCAGTGCATCTGACGTGTTATGCCAACCGATATCCATGAAATATAGCACGTCCAGCACGCACGCGGTTAGTTACAGGCACATTTTTGAACGGACGAATTTTTTTACCTGTGCAACCCGTTTACACGGAACCGTGCAAATTCTGTTACAGATTGCAGTACTGCTTGCCGTCTAAAAACTTGGACGATCCCTCGGGTCCCGTATAAACGATAGGCAGACCTGTGTAGAAGGGGTCTTGAGCTTCGTTCATACGGTAACGGACGAATTTTCGACCGGTGGAAAATGCGTAACCAGCCGCTCTTAATGCGTAACCACTTGCACCCGCTCTTAATACGTAACCACCCAAAGCTTACGAAAGTTAAACGCCAAAATCAAGGTCAAATTTCTAGCCGGTACGGTACAAAATTTGGCCGGCGCGGTGTGAACACCTTAACCGTCTAAATTTTTGTACGGCAAAGGCTTAGCTGCATAAATGCGTGGTAATTTAGCTGGGGAGAATCCTGTTTGAATTTGCTTAATTAGCGCTCTCCGCATGGGCAAATGGTCAGTAAAACCATTGAGGAAAGATAATTTTCAACGTAGTTCGTCAGTTCCGTGTGAACACAGGGAAAATATTGGCCGCATCGGACGAGTAGAGCTAGAACCGCTATAATTTTGCTTTCCCACAACAGTTGCATCCTTGTCTAAGTTTATGATTTAGTTAGTAGATGACCTGCCATGGCCTCTGCCAGTCAGGTAACACAATCCCGGAAGTCACTGGCGACCCTTAGTGTGTTTTGTGACCTTCCCATAAGGAGAGAAACAGATAATTAAAAATAACGTCACGAGTAAGAATCCCAAATGGCCACAGACAAACCGGCCAGCTGGGTATTTACAATTGTGGCCGAGGAGTTCAACTCGATCGGTACTAATGAGAAGAAATACGGCTATAGTGGCAAGGGCAGCCGTATTATTTCGGAACTTCTCCAGGAAGACCCGAAAGGAGAAAACAAATAACATAGTTTGCTTGGCCTCTAGACACCAAAAATTATATTCTAACCATTATTAAATAGATAGGAACTGTAACAGGAAAAATGTACCAGAAAAATAATGTTTGAAAGGTGTGAATAAAGTCTTATGTTCTGTTACGTTATGTTCCTCGCTTAAACCACGTGACCCGATTACTGGCCTGTAATTCAATAGCCAACGTTCGATATATCAAAATTCTAACATGAATTCTAGGCTTGAGGGACAGAAAGCCTGGGAGTCATGTTAGACTTTTTTTTAACATCAAACGCCTATATCATCGTAGCTGAATGGCCCTAATTGGTGTTCCCAAACAATGAAACTGCAGCCATGTTGGTGTCCCAAACCAGTCTTGTGGGAGTTAAACCTTTTTCTTTTATGTAAAAACCTTATTTTGTTGTTATAAATTTGTATAGCAGCTGTTGGTTGCGTGAGTGAAAACGCTCCGTATCTTTATAGCGCTATTAGTTAAGGTGGCTCGATACAGTTTTTCAGCGTCAACACCTCCCAGTTTTAAGCATAATCTACGTCGCCGTAAACAGAGATGTGGAAAAATTGCCACCGCAGTTGTATTAGATAACGATGAAAATTTGTTACGATTAGGGTTGCAATGAAATCGAAGTTGTCATAGCAATGAAATGACGGTGTTACCTATTTAACTTTCAGCAGTGTAAAGAGCGTTATCGAGGTATTTTTGGATGAAGTTTTTATGGTTAGAAATGCGGTAAAAAAATTGACAGTCTTAATGTTCGGCCGTTATCTGTAAAAAACGAAGCGCGTTTGACATGCAATTTCACCTCATAGTAGTTTCAATCTTTTTAAAAAATGTGTGTGAAAGAGCATGGAGATAGCTCTTGGGAGGTAAAATGGCCCCCAAGAGAAACTGAAAACAATGCTTATACAAAATTGTGGGGTGACAAACAGAGCATTATGGTATGTTACGGTATTTTCTGGAGTGGTCAATAGGTCGCATTTTTGCATATTTTAAATGCATTGTTAGTTACTGCTGTTCATGTGAAAATGAAACTTGGAGACAATACCCTTGAATAATGAGAGGCTTTCACTTTTAAAGACGAAACTTCCGTTTAGTATTGTTTTTCATTACAATGTCATTCGAAGCGACTATGCTTTCTCGGAACAACTGCGGTAGACATATCTGACACTGCAATATTTATTAAGAACATAAACATGAACAAGTAGTGCTGATTTTTTTCTTGAAAATACGGGCAAGTTTCTTAGAATTACTTATGTGTAAATAAGGTAACGATTCTGCTTTGGACAAAGACAATATTATCATTCGTTTGAAGTGGTTTGGCCACAAAAAATTATGCAATTTTCATACAATCAGCCTATAGCCTTGAAAAATAATCCGAACTCAGGTTCTGTTAATATAAACCTGACTATACCTGACATGAAGGTAAGTTGTTGCACGAACCATCGAGTAAATAAAAAATCCACTGCCTAGCAAGTTGTCTTCGGTCACCATTGAATGATTTTCTCTTACGACTTTTCTACACAAAAACATTTAAAAGAATCTTGTTGAAGGTTTACGACAATACAGTTTTTAAAGTCCATTTGAATTGAAAACTTTTTAACGAAATGCTTATTACGATACGAAAAGATGTACCTAGTCCTTGTTTATGCATTGAAATGATCTAGGCCGCGGTGCAGAGCTGATAACGACTCACCCATTCGCCCTGCGAGGAATCTGGATTGGAGTTGACAGTTGTACATAGTTTGTACATCAGAAAGATCCTGCATTCCTTATTTACGCCGTTTATGAGCAACAATGCGCAGGACAAGGTACTATACTATTCATTTAGACTATTGCCTTGGGCCTTATTTTTCGAAACTTCCAATCTGTAAATCTCGTCTATTTACCGTGGGCAATGTATATCAACTAAAATCACGAAATCTATTTTTTGTGTCTCAATTACTATTTCTCCTAATATGCAGCGTCAGTCATGTGTGTGCCTACGTTCCATATTTACGCAGTCAGTTGTCCTCGAGCGACTTTTTCTCTTCTAAAGCCCTCTGATTATCCTCTGCCAACTTTTCTTGAGCCTGTTTGAGATCCTTTGCAAACTGTGTAGCCAGCTGACGTACGTTCTTCTTGGCCTGCTCGATGGTTGGGTTTTCTTCTAGGTAGTTGTAAAGATCTTGCCTGGTATCCCTGATTTGTAGCATGTACACACCACACACGTCATCCAGAGCAACCCATTTGGAATAGTATTGCACTGCACTTTTCTTGAAGCCCGTTGATGTCCAAAACTTCAGTCGCTTTTCGTCATCATACTTATCCAAGGCCTTTTGCACCAATTTCTGCATTTCTCCCTTGGCTATAGACTCGCAGTGGCTTTGCATTTGCTGCCAGAACACTGCTGCTTTCATCATAATGGCAGATAACGATTTGAGTGCGCCAATGGAGCTGTGCAATGCCTCTATAGCTGCTTCTGCCAAGGCGTTGTCATCTTGACACCTCTTTATCTTCTCGGCAAATTCAATGCACTCTTCTATGGCCTTTTGGCGAATTTCTCGTTCTTTCTGCAACTCATCTAGATGCTTCATCTTTTCTTGATTTGCCATCTTCATAGCTTCTTTGTAGCCCGACTTATCACCAATTTTCTCTATCGCTTCGGCGGCTTTTTCAATATTTCCCGTCATAGCGTTGCCTGCAGCACTTATCATTCCATTAAATATACTTCCCACGGCGCTTAGAAGGCTGTCTTGCTTATCCAAAGCCTTATCTTCTTTTTCTTGGGCCTTGTCATATAACAGTTGCGCTTTTGCTTCCGCTTCAAGAGCATTCTTTTGCCTTTGCTCTGCTTGCTTCATTCTCGATTCAAAGTCCTTTCGTTCTTCCTCACGAGTTTTCTTTTGCTTTTCTTCGACGCCTTTTGCTTTCTGAGTGTCTTCCAAAGCGTCAATGACATCATCTGTAGCCTTTTCAAAGTCGCTGTGTAATTCGTCTGCGGCCTTCGCCATTTCTGCTGCGACGTCTGTCAACATCGAAAGTGTTTCCAGAGCCATATCTTCGAATCCATCCAACAGATACTGATAGGTGCTCTTCAGCTCGTGGAGCACACTTTGCGATGCGCCTTTAAATTGGTGCACCGTGACTGCTGATTTGTCGGCCAGCTTTGTTACTTTATATCCGACTCTCTGTACTTTAATCTGGACCTCGGTGTGCCCTGCCACGCCGTTGTAAGCCACACGAATGAAGTTACCGAGTTTTCCCAGGTCGTCCACAAGACTTTGGAGATCAAGCGAACCAAGCAGAAGATCTTTGGCTTTCAGCACCATTTGGCTTTTTGCATCTGGAATGGTAACAAGATCGAAGGTTTCGTCACCAATGACAACCTGACAGTCAGCCATTTCGTGTTCTAGGATTCTTCTTTTTACGCAGTTTTAAGTTTTGGACACACAAGGCGTTGTGCAGTTTTCTAGCAAATGCACTCGAATGTGCTAAATGTGAGACAATTTACGTGTTTGTGGCGGTCTATTCTCGGAAAATGATCAATTAATCATTGTTGATGGTAAGATAGATACATATCTGACCATTGCTGGCCATTTCGTACCATATATGGTCAAAATTAGCACGAGAAGTTACAGCTATATTACTTTATTAGAAAAAAAAGCTTTCCCTTTGGATCTAGGCATTTAAGTGTTTTTTGTTTTCCTCCATAGAACCGTGCCATCATTGCTTTTCACGAAATGTTTATCACTAACTGGGCTTCATGTTCCCTAAAGGCCAATGCGAAAAGCCCGGCTGACGTGATCTTGAAACCACTGATAATAATAAGAAAACGATAAGAAACGTTATGTTTTATTAGAGACGAAGAGACTGTTTATAGTTTTTAAGATAAATAGTAACTAAACCAGTCCGGATATTTCTCAGTGTGCAAAAATGACTCTCGCAGACAGGCAGGTGATGCAGCCCAGTTTTTTCGTAACTGAGCTTTTTGTCACTCCCAGACCAGCCATAACGAAATCTGCACTTGGTTGAACGAATTGAGATTTTGAACAGAACATCTACAGTTCGTTTTTATTTTTTTTGTTTTGTTTTTGAGAGCGGCTCAAAGTCTCGTGACATCTCACCTGAGTGCTGGTATTTTTCGTACGATAGTTAGTGTATAGTAATTGATATGGGTAGTTACCTTCAATATCAACATAATAATGAAGATGTTTCTTGGAAACTAGGATAGGCACTTGGCACATAGTTTGTGGTGTGTTGTAATTTCTCTCCTCGGTATTAAGACGTTCTAAGCAGCTTGAAACTAAAGTTTTACCATCATGTCACTAATCGCAACAAGTTCTAGGTGTTTCAACGCAATGGAAGCAGCCGTGGAGGCAGTGAAAACCGGTAACGTTGACAGCTCAGAGGTTATGATTAAATCCATAAGACAAGACGGAGTGTTGTTACAAAAACAGGCGTCAATCCTCTGTGATGAGTTCAAACAGGGCGAAAAGAAGCGGCAAGAATCAGACGAGGATCTAACTAGGCAGATAAACAAGTTACACGCCGAAGAGGTTGAGCTTAAAAACAGGAGGCAAGGTTTGGAAGCGAAGAAATCAGCGCTGAATGAAGAGAGAGAACGTTGCTACCGCAACAAACGAGATGCATCTCGGAGATACGAAAATGCAAAGGCAGAGAAGAGAGAAGCTGAAGAGAAATTCGAGGAAGCGAAAAAATGGTGTTGGGTGCCTGGTTACGGCACGTTTCTAGTCGTTCGAGAACTTTTTGAAAACAATGAGGAAAAGGCTCGTGATGCACGCAGAGAAATGGAGCGTTATGACGGAGAAATGAGCAGAGCCGTAAGTAACATCCGGTCGGCAAACACCGCTATTTCTCAGGTAGGTGTCTTATTTCTTTTACGTGTTCTTTTATTGTCAAAGGCAACAAAGCATGCAGAACGAAACTCTTAACTATAGCTACGAAACGTTTTGCTTATTCCTCTCTCGATCACATTTTTGAATCCGAAAATTTTAGGTTTCTTTTTTCTACGAAAATTTATAGCCTAACATAAGGAGTAAAAAATGAAAAATTAAACTTTAGAAAATCGTAAGGAATTTTTTAGATAAGCTTCGAAAATTGTTCCTAAATGGAACGGCATCTGGAAATTATTAGTCGTATTCAAGCAATAGAAAATTCTAGACAACATCGGCTTTTCCGAACAGATATTCAGTCACAGAAAACAGTCCTTGGGTGCCCTGAAGAGCTAGCCTCCCGCGCAGGCGTTTTTAGGGGAGCTCGTCTTCCACCTCTCCCTACAAGGAGGAGGGATGAAAAACGAGCTCCCCTAAAAACGCCTGCGTGGGAGGCTACTGAAGAGCGGGATGTTTCACTTTTCGACTCTTCAGCCTCCTTCGAACTCACCTTCGGGTCAATTTACATTATTCCAGCGTATGATTTCCATCAAGATTAGCATGCTTTTCATCATCCCGTAGTACTGCTGTTTTGTTCAGTGATATCGGTCATTTTACAGGCCTGATTCAGTTTTCATCGTTTTCTGCAGACAGAGGAGGACCAAAATGACATTTCAAAGAAAGTGGCAGACCTAAATAGACAACGAGAAGCATGTCACGAGGAGCTTGGTAAAATCAAGACCTTGATTTCATTTATTATGCAAGCTACTACATTCTGGGAGGAAGTGATCATGCTCGCCAACGCAGCAACAGTCAAAACCGAACAGGTTCAAAAGATTGTGGATCTGGCTGCCAAGAAAAATAGTGCCAAGATTCTCAGTAGCAGAGGTACAGAGACTAAGATGAGGTCATTCAAAGAATCCTGGATGGAAGTAGCAGAGATGTTTGCTTCTGAAGAAAACAAGCTGCTATCAAACGGTGAGCTTCACAGATCAAAAGGTGCATTTATGTAGACATAAAGTACAATTAGGTTAACAGTACTTTTGTAAAACGACTCAGGAGTGTTCCATGTTGTTGTATCATTGTTGTTTTCATTTTGATAACATGTATTTTCCACTTCCGTGCGTAGGTTGTTGAGATCATTTGTCGTTCAATTTACTGCTTTTGCAATATACATTGAATCTATCTTACGGTACCATGCCACACACCCTCCCCTCTTTTAGCCTTTTCTTTGGCCGTCTGAAAACCAATGATCTAGTGCCTAAAAATATATACGTTCGCATGCAATACATGTTACCATGCAGTATGAGTGAAACCGTAGTGATTTCGTACTGAGAATAATTGCGTTCGTCATGTGTGATACACTAAACTAAATTATAAATGCTCATTTTATTTTTTCTAACAGAAAAATTCTTCCTTATGTCTCAGTGAATGTTTCTGCAATTTGGCCATTCATGTATACTGGACTTAATGATACAGATGGATACGGCTCCTGCAGTACCTTTGCAATGGTGATTCATGTAGTGTACACCTTGTAGTACTAAGAGCCTAAACTCTGAGTTGCAACTCTTTGCCTTATTGGATTTTCTTCAGAATAACCGTAGCTATTGAATGTTTTAGGAGTTGTCTTATCTGGCTTTGTATTATTTATTTGCTATCCAAGGAAAATTCCATGTATTATTGTTCATTTTATCCCTGCACCAGCTAATGCTTCATACCAACTCTGTTGTTGCGAGAAGCTTGTAGTGAAAAGGTTTAAGACACAGATTCAGGCTCTTGTAGCCTTAGCATTTGGCAAAATGCAGCTTTATTTTTGATACAAGTGATACAAAAACTGTAAACTAGCAAGGGAGTTTAAGATTGCAGAATCAGGTATCTCCAACCATTAAAATTTTCAGACATTATAAAAGTTAGAATTAAATGATAAGTTAAAAATATACGTTTCCACCAAGAACAATAAACTGAAAACCCTTTAATCAAAAATGGCGAAAAGACCGGTCTCCTCTCTAATTTGTGTAAATAAAGGTAAAAGTTTTCTGTAAGTTAATATGTATCATAGTGTGTGATTTTAATTTATCAAATGTTAATTATTTAGTTTCCATCACTCTTACAACAAGCCACTTTCAGCTGAAACTCTGAAATTTCTTCCACATACTCACAATTACGTACACAACATATGCTATAATCGGTTTTTTTGTTTTTTTGTTATTGTCACGTTTTGGTAATTTTACTGTAATATTGTAATAATAATAAATGTCTTGAAACAGTAATTATAAAACAAAGAGTTTAAGAACGAGTCCGGTTTTAAGTGATCGTTTAATAATGTAATTTATAAAATCCGTTGCAGTTACAGAATGAAAACGATTAACTGGATACAGGCAGCGCGTGCAACGACCTGGGTTTTTGTCACGGCTTGTCCTTCCTCACCTCAGATTTTTCAGTTGCGACTAGCCAGGAAAAGAGAAGCCTTCTCTGTCAGCTAATGGTTAACAAAATGTCCTTGGTTTCTCCAAGTTCCTTTTTTTAGAGAAGACGATCATATGCACCCCGCACTTTGCATAATCACTATTCAATTTACAATATGGAAATTCTTATCTTTTACATTTATAAACACTTTTTTCTTCCGGATTTTAACACTGAAAATTCCTGTATGAACTGAAACTAAAAAAAACTTTAACCCACAGGACAAACCTTACTGAGACTGCCTTAAAAATGCTTATTCGTAAGAAAAACGTAGCAAACAGAGTTGAGTGATGGTAGTTGAAAACTAATCTTCTGTTTACATTACTTCACTGATCTAGACAAATACATCTGGGTAGTGGTCACAATATTTTGGTTTTACAAAGGAAGTTGTCTCGGAAACTTTATTGTTCTTATCGATGTTATTTTTTGATCTTGGCCGTCAGCACGAAACAAGTTGCTTAGTTTAGTATGTAACATAAACAACTTATGACTTTTTCAAGCACACTTAGAATTAAAAGACATTCCAAGATAGCTAGAATTTTACATCACAACAATACCTTTCGTTCCCTCAGGGGTTGCTGTAAGTGCTTACGGGTTTTCATAATCCAGCTAAAAACTATTAATTAAAATAAAACTGACTTGCTGCTTGAGAGGTGACGCAGGTACTGGTGGTCCACAAAAGGGCGCTCCTGCACCTATTTGAAAGACTGTTTTTGATTAGCTGGGAAAACAGCAGGGATTGTCACATAACAATGCCTCTGTCCCTGAAAACAATGGAAGTGCAGATTAAAGGGGACCAGTGAAATAAGAGGTTTAGAACGGTGCAGGTCTACTGCCACAAAAAGGACAGAAAAAATATTTTAAATGGATACAACAAGTGACAATACAATATGTTCCAAGTGTAACCAGGTAGAAAGGAGCGGAACATCTTGTACTTTCCATATTGGCTTCCCGGCGCTCGCTAATTTTTCCTTGGCCTCCCCCCTTTTGCCCTTTTGACTGCGAAATACTATAGACTGTTGTTGCGTAATTTCTCCCACTTTCTGCCCTTTTTGAGAACTTCTACCTCCCGCTCTTTCTTTCCTCTCCTCCCCGCTCGTTCCCTTTCCCGCCCCCTATTCTCCCGGGCTCCCAATTTCCTGTCCTCCCCCATTTAAGAACATGGCTGACAAGTTGAAATGGGAAATACCGATAATAACCCTAGCTAGTAGCCTCCCACGCAGACGTTCTTAAGTCTTCGTCACGTGTTCCTTCCTCACGTTCGTTGGGGAGGATTGCGTGACGAGTCAACAAAACATCTGTGTGGGCGGTTACCCAGCGAAAGGTCAGAGAGGGATTCGAACCCGGGCGACCAAATTAAAATCCAGAGTTCCAAACCCCACTGAGTCATGTTGCCTCTCTCCCTCTTTGCAAACTACCATTCGAGAGTCTCTACAAATCTAGTATTATATATTAAAAAACCGTTTTAGTTATGAACATTAAGCAATATGTAATTTAGAGTTAAAGATATCCTACAATTCCTTTATTCAGAATAACTTCTCACTCACTCAGTTTTGCGAGCGCTTATGGAACAAGTTGATTTCTTCAGTGCTTGGCAAGTAACTTTTAAAAGTAATGGTCCAGATAAGAAGGAAAGAACCAAACGCAATGAAAACGTCGGAATGCAAAAAAGTGCTAACTTTACTATCGTCTCTACTACACTTATGATTGGTTTAAACATATATAAATCCCTTGTTTTCTGACCAACTTCCTTACAACAAAATCTCTTCTGAATCTAAGTGACACAAATCCTATGTGAGGAACATGTAAAATTGTAAACTTTCTTGGATATTGTTTTTAACTCTTTTGATTGGTTGAAATCTTTTAACACGAAAAAACACCCTTTGTGTAAAAATGAAAACATTCCTATGTAACGGGAAAGCGTATTGCGCCATAACAAAAGACAGTGCTTCCCTTCTCACCCGGATCCGTACTTAAAAAAAATGTTAGAGCTGCTTGTCCAAAGGACAAGCTGGAAGTCTTTTTTTTTTTTTCGAGGTCGGAGGCGAGGTTAGCAAACAGCTACCAAGTCCCAGCTGTTCAAACTGAACTGGTTGGAAAAAAGCTATCCACTCGATAAATCTCTATCCATATAAATCCTTGGTTTTCCTAATACTTTAACATCTGCTGGATGGTAATAATAATAATAATAATAATAGTAATAATACTTTATTTAGCGCCATTTCTAGTGACGCCCGACAACAGCGCTTCACAATAAATGGTTAAAATATTACAAATGCTGTTCATAAGAGTGTTACATTGTGAAATTACATTACATTGAAACGAATTAAAACGAAATAAAGTATAACAAAACTAACTGATTGTCCATCATTTTAGCAACGGGAAATTTCTTATGTCTTTGAAGCAAAATAGTTCGGAAGGCTTCATCGGCGTACGATAATTTTTTTTAGCTTTAAAAAGGGACCAAATATAACTCTGTACGTTGAAACCCAAAACCATATAAACTCTTTAAAATATTTTTCTGTTAAACTGTAAAATTCGTCATGCATCCACCACTTGGAAGGAACTAGTTCGAAAATCACTATGTTTGCCCATTTTCAGGAATATCACAGAAATCGTGAAAAAAATTAAGAGTTTGTATGATTTTTGGGGACGCTGTCACAAAATTACAGACGTTTGTATGGATCTTTAACAATGTTTCACGAGTCATAACTTGATCCCTGTTCAACCTTAGAGCACTTAGTCAAATAACCAAACTCAACATGACCTTTTATATGGTGGTGTCAGTTTATCGATTAGTTTAGATTTGAAACTCGCCCGAGTTCCCTATGCAACTCCGAAATTGCCAATCACTAGTTGTACTATTATTTTAAATTCGAATAAAGTTGATGTGGGCTGGATAGGCATTTCCATGAAAACTAGACAAACTATAGCCTGCGCCACAGACGGAACTAAACTTCTGGTTCAGCATGTCTGCGAAAGGATGTTGTGGCTCAATTTTATCCTTGCTTTCACTTTTATTTTTTATAGTCTTCGGGTATGGTAATGTATGATAAAGAGTTTGAAACAAAAGAAAATAAATTTTAAACCAAGAATAAAATTGAACCACAACATAAATGTCGTATTTAGTTGTAACGATTCCATCTTTGAATCTTTTCCAGGGCCTTGGTGCTTATAGTATCAGCAAGACAGCTCTGCTGGGTTTGACGAAGGTCTTAGCAATTGAATGTGCTCAGATGGGTGTGAGAGTTAACTGTGTTGCTCCTGGGATTATAAAAACAAGATTTAGTGAAGCGGTCAGTGGAAGTTTTAATTATTTTGTTATTGTACTACCGAATAAGATTATCATTCGAGTTATTTTCCGAAGTTGGATTGGAAAGTTTAGGGATCATCATGATTACATTTTCGTCTCTAGAACCACTCGACCAAAAGAAACGACAGGCTGTAGCGGGGGCGAGCTTGGGATCATTACGTCAGCTGCAGTTACCTGGCTATGAACAATGGTCTGCTCGTGCGCAGACGATGCTTTGCTTGTGTGCAGTGTGGTCTCTGTCTTCGTTGGATTCCCCTTAAAAAAAAACATTTATTGTACTCATTTTATGTCTTCTTATTGGCTAAGATTTTGAAAATCAGTGAAACCAGCAGATTGAGATTAATTAGTTATCTGCTAGCAGATTAGTGACTAAATTGAAGGTTGCGCGCGCAATGCTTGATTTCCAGTGTCAAACTGTGTTCCATGTGATACTGTGTTGGTCGTTATTTTCTTCAAAACAATGTGTAATAAAACAGTTATTGGACTCAGTTTTTGTGTTATGTGAAATAATCAAGGCCCGTGGTAAGTGTTATGAGCCTCGGCCTTCGGCTTGGCTGGTAATGCTTACCCAGACCTTATTAGTGCGGATATCACAGAAACTTCATCCAATAATTGTTTATTAAATTTTTTAATTGTGAATTATAAAAACAGTGATAACATGTACAACTCCAGTTTGTGTTCTTTCGTTATAATGTAATAGCTAATTCAGGATATTTCTAATTAATTCCAGATTTGGAAAAATGAAGCATTAATGAAAAATACGCTTAATCAAATTCCCATTTCAAGGTAAGCGATCGGTGACAAAGGAAACTTTAGTTCTTTTTTTTTCTACATTTCCCGGCTTAGATTACGTTAAGCCATGATCAGACTTTCTAGTGTCCTAAGATAAGGACGAAGAAACATCTTGAAACGGTCTAAAAGTACTTCCACTGAGTCTGTCCCGATGTAACCTGTTTGAGGCTCCACTCGTTTCAAGAGTAAGAACTAGGCGAAATAATAGCTAAAAACATGGCAAGAACAGTCAGAAGACAACTCGAAGGGCGACATCTGCTATTTAGAAAATATTTGCGGAGCTGAACAACCCTAAACGTGCACTATCGAAGATGAACTTAACATCGATGGAGGTAAGCTTGTTTTAGCTATGTTTTTAAACTAGGAATTATTTTGAATGAAGAATAGAACAATTATTGAATTCGGCTTTCGTATCATATGAAGAATTATGGACATCTCGGAGGATGTTTACCACTTCGGCCTTCGGCCTCGACGGGTAACACCCTCCTCGATCTCCATAATTCTTCATAAGATACTCAGCCTCATTTATTAATTGTTAAATATTAATAGGTCGCCATCATACAAGAGATCTATACCAAGCTATCACTACGCGACGTCTCGCGACGTCCCTATAGTAGGGACGTCGCGAGAACAACGTCAGCGAAAATAGGAAGCGCGGGAACTGGGCACAGAGTTTTCACGATCACTTCATTGGAGCACCAAACAGACTACACTAAGACAGATTCAGTGGAAGTACTTTTAGACCGTTTTAAGATGATTAATAGGCCGCCATTGTGAAAGAAGTCTATAGACTAACCCTGTGGGACAAAAAGAACCACTAAGGGAAGAAATATGTCAAAAAACTCGGGCCTCGTGCTTCATCACGAGTTCCAAACACCTCGAAACATTTCTTCTCAAATGAAACAATAAGAAGTTATGCAGTAAATTTGCATTGTTTCCATGAGTTGTGTCAATCAATGAAACATCTCATCAAAATGCAAGTGGTGATGTTTTATGAAACCTGGTGGTGTTTCATCTGATGTTTCATTAGCCATCAAGATTCATCCACCTGACCCAAATAGTCGTCATAATGATTTAATGGCTTTTGACGGCATGAATAATTAATTAATTATGTTTTCTTTTTTGGAACGGAGGAAGAAAATTTTTTTTTTCTTTTTTTGAACGGAGGAAAAAAATTTCCGTCTTCAAAAGTTTGCGGATACGTATGGACAGGGCCTAAATATAACTTAGGGATAACCTCTTGATCCTGATTATAGAAGTTGTGAGGGAATAGTTTGAGTCATTACATTAACATGAAAGTGATCGTTGGAGAGGAAAGAAAAAAAGGACAAATGCCCGGGAAGAGGGATGGGCACACTTTGAATTGACGTAGCCGCCATCACCTCATATGTTTATCATATGTTCATGTTGCAGTTTATTTAACCGATGGCTTGTTTGCATGGGTTCAGGGAGTGTTACTTTTTGACTAAACGCAGAAGAAAGACCGTTGCCTCCATAAATCTTGTTTGTTTTCAGGTTAGGTGTGGCGGATGATATCGGTGGAGCAGTTTCTTTTCTTTCCTCTGATCAGGCATCTTACATCCCAGGAGAAACTTTAGTGATAGCTGGTGGACTACAATCAAGACTTTAAAAGATAAAAAGAAGCCGTTTTATGTGACGTATAAAATTTTGTCAGACGTCTTTGTTATAGTGCTGATTTAAGCGATGTTATTCACACCTAAGTGCCCACAGCAGCCCAAGCCGCTTATGAAATTAGCGCATAAACCAGAAATAATTGCAGATATCGCGCTGCTGATGTGAGGCGAAATTGCTTATTTTGAAGTAAATCTAAATGCGTTATGTGCAGAATTTAGCTACTATTAGTAGGAAACTTGCGCATCGAGCTGCATCTTTCTTTTCAAAATATCTCAACTGAAGGTTATACTTAAATTTGCACGTTGGTGTTTCATGCCAAGTAATCAGCAAGACTCTACAGGTGCAGTTCGCAAAGACGTTCACTTATGGCTGACTGTACTATTTTGCTTTTCGCCCTTGGAATGGTGATAAGGTCGAAGTTTCTGCGTGTGGATTATTACCAATGAATCAGTATGTGTAGTAGTCATTTGGAGTAACATACGGATAAATGATCAGTAACACAGGAACACATACGGGTACATGGGAATGTCGTTTTTTATTTTTTCAATTCGCCACTTTCACATTTCCCATAATTCAAATTATCTGGCTCCCAAAATTTTGCAGAAGCTTTGTTTTGCATTTCTCCTGGGTATTACAGCCGTCCCAAGAGAAATCGAAAACAATGCTTATGCAAAATTTTGGGGGGCAAGTAAGGTGTATTATAGGAAATGTGGTAGTGGCGTATAGGCCATGTCCGAGTTCCAAACCTTTTACTTTCAAAACGAGGCTAAGTGCAAAACCTGTCTTGTGAAAATGCGTTTTATTGCATGAGAATAAAAAATCATTTTTAAGAAATCATTTTTGGTTTCGCGCTTGCCTCATGCCTCAAAAAGGGAGGTACATGCCAGCCCAATCGAGGACCACTACTGGACAGTTCGGGTTTTCGATAAAGTTTTGTCACTCAGCGGGCATCTTTATGCCAAAAAGGCAACGTGCTTTTCCATCAGACTGCAAGAGAACATAAAATGAACATGGCGTTACAAAAATTCGCACATGGCGCTGGTTGGCTGTAGGGAAATTCCAGTGGTCTATTCTATCAAGGGTACGATTGGTTCCAGTAGAAGTTGGTTCTATTTTTGAATGCATCTCTTAAAAGAAACGTAGTGCAATTTCTCATTTTACCTGGCTGTGTAAACGGTGGATATCGTATGGCCCATTGGTTGACCGTTGTACGATTGGTTCCAGAGGAAATGAGGTCATGTCGTCTATTTCGTCTGTTGGCGAAGTGCATTTCATTATGGACACATGAATTAGAACAACTTCTCGCGTTGCTCGGTTGGGTATAGCCGTATAAGGAGATTCCGGTGGTCCATTGGTAACCACTGTAGAAAGCACTTACCTTGGGAGCTGTGACCCAAGGAGACGGCAGAAATTCAGGCTTTAATGGCACAGTATAACGAAAATTTTTGAGAGGAAGTAATGAAATAATGCCCTTATAGTTAATAATGAAATAACGAAATAGTTTTCGGGAGTGGAATGATAAACACCCCGTTATTCATCTCCCCCCCCCCCCCCCCATTATATAGTGGAGCCCCCCAGAATATTTTTGTTTTTTCTCTGAGGTTTTATAACACCTGATTTGTTTTAAGGGTTGTTTTTTATCTCCAATGTGACTTATTTTTATTTGTGGGCGTTTTTTTTTTTTTTTATTTTTATTTAATAAAATACTATCATAATTTCTCATAATTTTAACATAAAAAAAATTTTTAGGGAAAAAAAAAGAAAAATTGCCTTATAGGTTAAAATAAAAAAAACCAATTGTTTTGCGGGGGGGGATAAAAACCCCCCCCTTTTTCCTTCCCCCCCCCCCCCCCGATTTAAATCGTGGAAGCCCAAGAGCATTCTTGCTTTCTAGCATGGCGTTTCTATACCACGTGTTTTATCGAAGGGTCTATGTTCACACGTTACATTCATATCTTTGATCGTGCCGGGGTTTTTTTTTTTCAATATGTTATAAGTAAAAACAATTCGCATACTTTATTGTCACTGACGACAGTCCTTTTAGGTTAAAAGATGTTATTGCGACTTAACTTGCGGACGGGTTTAATTGGTTCACTTCTTTCCTGACTCAGGAACCAGTTTTGCATTGTAGTTTATTACTCATCACTAGCTTACTCCGATTAAGCAAGTGGGAACAAACTACAATGGCACTCATTCGTAACACAGCAGATCTTGCTACCAATTTCCTTGATTTCATTTCTTTTTAGTCCAGTCAATCTATGCATTTTTGAGGCTCAACACCAAACTAATTGCAACAAAATTGTTTTCAACGCCATTTAAGTAAGGGTGACCTATCTAGCAACATACTAAAAATCTGCCAAAATCCGTTCGGTGCAACATGTCAAAATTAAGCGTTAAACATTTTGAGCTTTTAACACGGGGAACCCATGTTAGTTGAAATTACACGTTCCAACAAAAAATGCACAAAATGTGTTTGTTACTTTTATGGAAAAGTGAAAGAAGAAAGAATAACTGCTACCTAGTTTTCGGTGATAAAAAAAACATTGAAAACGAAGAGTTTCTTTTTTCAAACAAAATAAAAATTAAACGCGCTTGGCTTTTGCACAAGAAGCCATTACTCCCTCAAGGAACCCCAAAATAACAGGAGGCTTTCAAGGTAATAGAGTGAACTGTTGGCTATAAAACTACAACAAATTTAGTCGTAAGGCTTTAAACCTGAAAAATGAAAGCCGTTACTTAATCATTAGCTTTTAAAATATATCCCTTTTTATCAGATTTCTGTTAGCCGCAAGGGTAAGAAAAGTTTATATATATTAGAGCTGGATTTTTTAATAACCTTGCAGCCAAAATAGACCTCTCCCCTCAAAGAGCCTTTTTATTTCAAAAACTATCTCCAAAGAAGTCAACATAAACACTAGGAGTGCAGCCACTGCTTTTTTTTCTTCTCCTCCTTTCTTTCTCTTCGCTCTTTTTATTTCCCCTTTCCTCGTTCTTTTCTAACAGGATTTCAGGCTTATTTTGCCTTCGGCTTTTGGTCTTTTTCTCAGTCAAAAGACTGCAATTTTCGCTCGGTACTTTTTCAAATATCCAGCAAGATAATGCTTTGGCTTTTACGGTTGCCTGTACATCAATTTTCGTTAACGTATCGACATCCTCAAATATACAAATTTCACTTTTTTAAAGCTTTTTGTTTTCTTCTTGTTAAAGGTGAATGGAGAAGAGGGGAGGATATTTTTACTAATTCCTTACGATGCACAACAATGCAATTTTTTTAACAGGTTAAGCTCCAATGCCTATGAGTTTGATAAGAGGGAAATGCGTTTTCATTTAAGGAAAAAGGGTTAACGGAACATTCAACGCATAAGAACTTTATTCCAGCAAACGTTTGTTTCAAGGAAACGAAATAGCATGATAGGGAAGCTTGTTTTTAAGGAAAAGATTAACTCTGGGTAGCGAAAACAATGCGTATGTAACAATATCTTGTAAGAGTCTATGGAGTAATTGAAATTCCCCACCCAGAGCATAATTCACGCAACTCAGTCAGAAGGTTAACATGCACTAAGGTAAAGTGTTACACAACCCTCATCCGAGAGAGACATTGGTTCCGCTAAAAGAGGTGAGCCATCAGAAGCTAAGTCAGGCAAGCCCATTAATGTCGTACATATGTCTAGTACTTTCGCGCCTTCATTGAAAACTGCAATTATTTTCAGACGTATAGGATCCCATGATCGTTATAGAAAAAGAGGTCTTCATTTGCCAATTGACGAAAAAAAACACTGGTCAAGTTTCGGGGTTGTTCTCACAAAAGAAATGCTAGGAGGGAATATAAACGCCTTTAGAGCACAGAGCGATTAAGCTACTTATTCATCATACCAAGAAATGAAGGGCTATCTCAGAAAATACAAACTGAATACACAAATCGACTTAACTAAATATGAGACTCGCTACAAGAAGGAGATAAAAAATTAAAGAACAATCAAACTGCACTTGGTTTTCTGGATTTCCCTTGACAACAGAATGAAGAGCGCAGAGCGTTACGATCTAACAAAAAGCAAATCGACGGAGTCCTTAGCAGAATACTTATTCACTCACATTGTAAAGCACGGAGTCATAATCCTAAAGGAGGTTGCACATGTCGCGAGAAAAAAAAAGAGTCCCTGATTTCGATCACAAACATTGTGTCCAAGGTTTGAACATAACTACCTCACAAAACTCGATTACAGAAAATGGGAATAGGTTAAGCAATTTGTACTGATACAAAGCTATCGTCCTTTGCACACATTTAGTCGCACGTATCTTGCGGCATGGATGCAAGTTAGTAGCTAACCGAAGGTGATCAAAATAACTGTTCACCATCAGTCAGCTACTAAATTTGCAACCGTGCGGCAGGATATATAAAAAATTACCAGCCTGTGATACTGCCAAAATACGTACTGCATTTCTGATATTACGCAAAAAAAAATACTAATCTTTTTAACCATGTTAACACAGACCGATGTTGTATCTAAGTGTACAGGTAGCCTGTGCCAAATCAATCGTGTGAAACATTTGTTTGATAGGTCTACGCTCATAACCATCATAAATTCATTAGTGTTCAGCAAGATTTTCTATTGTTCGTCCATGTGGTCTAGTACAACAAAAAAGAACATTGCTAGGCTTCAAAAAGTTCAGAATTTTGCGGCACGGATTGTGACTGGCACAAGAAAGTATGAGCACATCACGCCGATGTTAAAGGAACTCCACTGGTTGCCGGTTGCTAAGCAACTGGAGGTTAGAGACATTTTAATGGCTTTCAAATGTATAAAGGGATTAGCCCCACCATCCTTGTGTAATAAGTTTTCGACAAGAAGGCAGATGCATACTAGAAATACTAGGAATAAAGATAAACTTCATGTACCATCTTTTAGATCAGCAACAGGTCAGCGATCTTTCTCATATAGGGCTGTTCAGCTCTGGAATGACCTTCCAGAAAGTTTAGCAAACATAGAGTCATTT